ATATATATATATAATCAAGAATCATGTTTTGGAAATTATAAATTTTAGAAATTATGATTTTTTAAGAATAATTAAAATATATTTGATTATTTATAAAAAATTTTGAGAATATTTTTACACGATTATCATAAATTAAAGATTTTTAAGGTAATTATAATAGTATATTCCTCAGTTTATAAATACTTTTTACAAAAATATTTTTTATTAAAATAAACTCATTATATATATACACTTAAATCTTATTACAAATATGATATTAAACTATTTTTAAAAAATTAAAAACTTATTAAAATTATTTAAATATTGAATTCAACAAAAAAAATAAAAAATAAAAATGTTACATTATAATTAAGAAGAATAAAAATATATTATTTTATTTTATTTAAATAAAAAAAATTTAACATATACCATATACAAACAAAATAGATTTTAATAATATTAAAATTGACAAAATTAAGATGTAATGAGATGCACGAAAGAGAGATAAATAGAGAGATATGGGAGAGAGAGAGAAGGGTAAGGGAGAGCGAGGAAGAAAGGGGGAGTGAGGAAGAAAGGGGGAGTGAGAGTGAAAGAGACATAGAGCGAGAAAGAAAAATAAGAGGGAGAGAGAGGAAAAAAGAGGGGGAGTAAGAGTGAGAGTGAGAGAGAAAGAGAAATAGAAATAAAATGAGAGAAATATATATTTTAAAAAAAAGGAATATTATGGTCTTTTACACACACACGTGTATATATATATATATATATATATATAACTTTCCTCCTAACTTGGGAAAGTTGAATTCTCATCCTTTTTATGAGAATGTTTTTGTGGGAAAGTGAGATAAAATTGGTCGTAGAAAACTATATTCCTAAAAAAATTTTAAATAACTACCAAACATGAAAATTATTAAATTAAGATTCTCATTTTAAGATTACGAGAAAAGTATAAACATTTTACGTATCAAACATTTCCTAGGTGACAAAATAGGTGATGACAAACTATTTGAGAGAGTAGTCTATCTTAGCATTGGTCTTTCCATAAGCTAACATTAATTTAAGCATAAGTTAATTTATAGAAGTCATCTCTCATAAATTTATCTGAAATCTTATTTTTAACTTATGCATAAATTAGTTTTATCTTATAGAGAAGTTAATTCAAATTTTTCTTCCTATATATTTTTCTCTTAAAATTGCTTATGGAGAAACTTATATAAAATAGTAATTATTTTTAATTTTGTGACACAATATTATCTTTCACCTGTTCAAGACATGAAAATTGTATCATTGACAAAATTACAATGTAAGTTTAACTTATAATTTTGGCTCATTAATGAGATAAATTTTATGTATTTCATTAGTACAAAAAATTCAAATTCGTGTAATAAAATTGAAAACAATAATTATTTTGAAATGATGAACTCAAATTTATAAAATTAAAAAATAATTTTTTTAAAAATATGAAATAAAAATCTTAAAAATAAGATAAAAAACTTAAAAATATAAATTAGCGTAATATTAACACTCATTTTGTCCCTCTTTCAAACTATTTTATTTTCTTAATTGTGATTACAAACTACATTATTATTAAGTTTTAATGACATATAAAATCCAATTTTAATTCTAAAATAATTATACATTTTTTAAAATTTAATCTTCATCATCTCTATTTTATTTTTAAAATAATTATACATTCAACTAATTTGTAAGTATTATAAAAGTTATAGAATTTTTGGTATACATAATTTTGTGTACAAATTTACCCGTTATTTGTTTCATAAGTTACTATTTCTATTTATTTTAATTCAACACGACATTTCATTCATTTATGTTGTTAGAATCGAAACTGATTACTTTACCGATCCAAAAGAATTACAAAACTGACATGTAAAAGAACCGGGCAAAAATCAAATGAATCTACTCAAAAACAATAAAAACAAGTTAAAGAACTGGTTTAGAAAATGAATTAATCACTCATATATATTGTGAGTATAATTTTTTTTTACATTCGCAACCAATTATATCTTTTAGTTCTACCATATCACTGTTAAAAGTAAATATTTTTACAGTAACATGACAGAATTAAAAGATATAATTGGTTGTTCGTATAAAATTTTTATACACTGACAATGTATAGTTGATTAACTCTTAAAAAATTAGGTTGATTCGTTCTTTTTTAAAAATATCTTTTTTAATTTTCTAATTATTTTAAAAATATTTTATGATAAATAAATATATTTAATAAAATTTATAAATTAAAATAAATATTATTTATTATTTATAATAATTTTCTTATAAAGATATAATTTAGTCATTTATATTAATTTATAATT